ACTATCCGAACACATATTTGCAGCACCAGGTAAATGACAAAGATCGCAAGTCTGTGGGTGAAATCGTAAAGTAAAATCTGGAATGCTAGTGCAAAGTGCCCTTGAAAAATTCCTGCATGGACCCTCTCGAGCACCAATTAAAATTAAAGGCATTTTTAATTTTTAAGAAAAATTATAATTTCACATAAATTGCGTTTCAACCCTTCAACATCATTGCCGTTTTTCTGCAATAAGTTTAAATGGGTATTTTTGTGAAAAGAATGTAACAGATGATTCTATTCTTTTTTCTAGATATGTTTTATTATTTTCTTTGAAAATTTCATAATTGCGAAATGGTGAATTTAATAATGCTATTTTCTTGCCATGTTTACCAACAAAACAAAACAAGGCTGATTTGAGAAATATGTAGAGGTCCATGAGAGATTAAGCAATTAATAATGATAGAATGTCCACAGAAGTTCAAGTAATTCCGACTTTTTTCAAGTGTTTTCCAAATAATTATTCTTCATCCTTTTGCTAGCAGACTTATTCGAAGGAAGCATATGAATCCCGAGCATTGCGCAGATTTGACTAAATCACTATAACAATCGAAAAGGAATCCGTGGACTGATTTTTTACCAATTTTTATCTTTACCCAGCATCTATTGTATCACTCCATAAATCAAATCGTCGCGAAATGCGATGTATTTTCTAAATTTATTATTTCAGACTGGTGATTCCGACTAGGAAAAAAGAAATCTTTCATTCTTTGCCTATTCTATTTACATATGTTAATAAACCATCAAGTCAATTTCTGACCAAATCTGACCATTCTTTACTTTTATACGAATACTTTTATACGAATTGCTAATATCGGCCAATAATCGTAAAACAGTATTTAATAATAGGATGCACAGGATCTACTGCCGGCTCATATATTCTCGGCAAATAGCACACTGAGATTCATGGAGGAGCATCCTTACTGCTTTGCTTAGACCTCATAAAAGTTTTGTGCTTTTTATTGCCAAAAATACTCCCAAAATACTGTTTTCTACCGTTTGGTTACTAATCCTTTTTTGATGCTGAAGTGTTTATAAATTGTTTTGACAGCACGCATTATTATTTTCGTTAGTTTGGCTAACTACTAAAATAAGACTTTTTTGCAAGTGAGCCACCAGGAATTATTCAAAATTCTCCAGCAAATGCTGTAATCTGCCAAATAATTTGAGATATATATCTATGAAACTACATAAATCTATATATATTGCAATAAAAATATTCCCTTTTTTCTTTGAATTTAAAAGAAAAAATTTCTGAACACTTCTTTTTTTTGTTCAATAATTTGTTTTTTATTCACTATTTTGGAATTTAAGATCATTCAACTGAATTTTTCTTGCTTTATTGTTTAAGTTTAATTTGGTCTCTCCGCAGAGAGCTCCAAAAAACGACAGTGCATGGCACAATTATATACGCAAATAAACAACGGCGCTGGTAATAAAAACGAAAATATAATAATAATAATAATAGTGCCTCAAGCCGCGCTCTGTTTCACTTCACATTCGTTAATTAATAAATGGAGAAACTCGTCGAAAACAATCATATTTCTTTATATGTAATAATTATTAAATTATCGGATAATAAATCCAAAAAATAAAATTTATTCAGAAAATTTTTACTAAAATTTAAATAATTTTTTTTGCTAAACCCAGTGCGATAATAAGGCAGAGTTTTTGAAAAGTTTAGCATTAAATTCAACCATTAAAACTGTCACAGGTCTTTCGTCGCTATTTTGTCGCTCTCATATTTCGATTTTCGCTATTTTGTCGCTAAATTTAAACATCGAGTTGATAATGCTTTAACCGTTCATTCAACAATGATATTTCACTGAATCACGCTAATACTCTAAACATATTTAAGTGATTAACCTCCATTGCAACAGAATATAAGTAGTGCTACTGGCAAAGTGGACTTTTTGCCTTTCATTTTCAACTTTTCAAATTTGTTTTTACGAATTGACTCCTCGGCTTGATATTTAGCTGGCGAGGAATTTATGTTAGTTGAGCTCACTTGTATTTTTCTTTATTTTTGTGCAGTCAATGATAGGTGTTTACGAATTGACTCCTCGGCTTGATATTTAGCTGGCGAGGAATTTATGTTAGTTGAGCTCACTTGTATTTTTCTTTATTTTTGTGCAGTCAATGATAGGTGTTATAATGAAATGAAATCGGTGAAATTTTTTTGTGCAATTTTTTTAGTTTCAAATCTTCGAAAAATGCACAAAAGAGTGAGTAAAATTTGATAAAGAATTTCACACATTGAATATTCTTCTATTAAACTATGAGCTATGAATTGCACGATCTCTCGGATAAGCGAAAAAATTCGAGAGCGATTTGAAAACTCTTTAGCATTTTTCAACCTTCGGACAATTGTACCTTTCCTTTGCAATTACAGTACAGTATTAATACCAACAATATTTCTCTTCTAATTATAATTAAAGCAAAAAGGGGACATTGTTATTTATTTCTTCCTATTTTAATTTATTGTATTTTACAGAGATTATTTGAAAAAAACTAAAGCAATTGCGTTAAATCGTTCAACAAAATTAGTGATTGGTTGTTAAAAGGAAATGATGATGAAAAGATTAAAAGATTTATAAATGTGAACCGTTGCGCCGAGTTTGGAAGAAATCTTCAAAATTTTAACTGATATCTAAGAATTGGAAAAGAATTCAACTAATCTTAAAATATAAGAATTTTTCGATGCCAAGTCATTTAACATCAATTTTTAACAAAAGCTGATTGATCTTGCTTGGTTTAAATGAAAAGTTTTTGGAAAAATTACATTAAATCCATATTAATTGTAGTATAGAACGGCTTAGTGGGTTATTGCTCGATTGAGAGCGCTTAAGTTCGATTCCTTCCAGGAGATAACCTGTATAAAAATCCAGATGATGTTGGTGACTCACCTATATTTCTATCGACAAGAGGCTACCTGGCATATTGCTTAATGTGTAGGCAGTGGAGCGAGTTAAAACAATAATGGTGAGGACTCTAAAAAAAAAAGCAGTATCGTATAGAATGAAGAGAATTCGGTTAAGGTGTAATTGATATTATGATTACAAATTTGCATTAGCGCGTCAAATGATGTGAGACAAATACACTATAAATTTCAAAAGTCGTGGTGGTTTAAGCAGCTGTATTCGTCCTCAAGTTAGAGAGTCCTTTAATAATTTTCCGGAATATGATTGAAATAACAATCGTTTTTGCTGCATATATATAGTTTAAATAATGGGTCGAACCTTTATTATTTTGAACATAGAACATGTTCGTTGCCTTGCTTATCATAATTGCACCGTTATGCAATTTTGCTAATGGTGCTACAGAAGCTATTAACGTTTGCAATGTTCCAATGCCAGGAGTACGAGCGGGAGCCATCGTACAAAGACCTTCAGTGCCTGTCGAGAATTGCCAAGATCGAGATGCATTGGCTTGCTATGAATTATTCAAACCTGGAGACAACGATGGTGAAATTGGAATGGCATTCAATGAGAATCGTATGGAGTGAATATTTTAGCATTCAAAATTTATTTTATATTATTTTGTTTTAATTTCTACTAGTACTTTAAAAGATAACACGAAAAAATTAAACTGTGCTTTGATTATAAACATCAATTTTTTGTAATATTTTCATAGGATCCATCGTTTTCATCGTTATTAAAGGCAGAAATCATTCGAAATTTTTTTGCATTATTAGCTTCCTCTTCTAATAGCTCTCACCATTACTAGTTAGGCTGGCTACAATGACTACAAGCGTAAGATGCTTCCAAGCGCGGCGGTCTGATTGCATCATCTAAGTCGATATATTGCTGGTCCACCTATACGTTCAAAAGCTTTCCTGACCGTATCAGTCCATTGTCTATTTTTCTCTTTCATCGACTTGAAAAAACCGCGTTTGGTTCACCATTAACGATTTATTCTCGTTTTTTTGTGCCTTAGAAATGCTTATCCATGCATATAATAGAATTGTTGCTCTAAGTGATGAAAAAGAAATTGGAGAGTTTTCCATTTGTATAGCACCAATACAACCGCCAATACAAATTTTCTTTTAACAAAAATGGTAGGTAATAAACTAAATAAAATAGAATCATTATGTGAAGATAACAATTTAAGCTCGTATAACATATTATTTCTCAGGTTCTGATAATTTTTTTTACTTATATGTTATCTCTGAATCGAGAAATTTTGGTAGCCGATGGTCGCAAATGCGATTTAACATTACTGGATTATGTGGTCTGCCGCTGTAATAAATTAATGTCGATATGCCTTCAAAGCATTTTAAAATAGCTCCAATGGTGTACAATTATTGCTTTCCAATCAAGCAATTTCTTTTTTTAACGATTTTTGCAAGTGAAATGCCTGGTTTTCTTATTAAACTCAAAAATTCAGGAACATCTTATGAAATTAGTTCCCTAAGATCTTATAATCTAATAACCAAGCTAAGCAACGTTGAGCTCGGCTAATGCTACGATGGTCTAGGGATATAACGCTTGTTTTATTAATTAATAAAGAAAATTTGAAAAAAAATCAATGGATTTTAAATTCTTTTGAAATATTACTCAGGAAAATTCGCTCGAACGATCAAAATTTCTCTTATTCCTCTCATATAACTCTTTCCATCTAATTAAATTCTCGGACCATTAAATTCTCTCTAATTCCTCTCAAATAATTCATCTCTCCGTAAGTTTACTCGGACGACCAAAATTTCTCTTATTCCTCCCATATAATTTTTCTATCCAATCACTCGGACCATCAAATTTCCTCCAATCTCTCTCGAATAATTGTTCTCTCCGTAAATTTACTCGGACGACCGAAATTTCTATTATTCTTCTCACATAATCCTTTCTATCTTATAACTCGGACCATTAAATTTTCTCTTATTCCTCTCGAAAAATTCTGCTCTAGAAAATTTATTCGGACCCCTAAAATTTCTTTGCTTTTGCCGCGAAATATACCCGATATTCAAATTGCCCGGATTATTAAATTTTCCTTTACCATAAATATTTTCCTATCGAATTTATCCAGAATAATTCACATTCTGGTTTCTCTTATTCTTTATATCATTATCATTTTCATGCTTTATAATCAGATTTATTCGAAATATTCTGATAACCTCCATAAATTTAACTATCAAACTCTGAAAAACTCCAAAATATTCAATCTTTTTCATCAGTTTGCTTAAATCTAAATACCAAATATCAAAAAATACCAAAATAAATAACAAATACCAAAAAAACTGAACAAAAGATTTAGAGATTTTATATATTATATTTTGTATAAAGATATTTTAAATAGTTTTCTTTCAATTTTCAGTGATATACCACAGCAGCAAAGAATATCAAAAATAGAAATGAAAACTTTCTCATCAAAATATATAGAACAAAATCCGTTATTCCTTTATATACCAGTTAAGTTCATTAATTGAAGGACTCTACAAATGCTTTGCACTCAGCCAATAGCAATTTTAATTATAAAATAAAACTTCAATTTTATAATTTAGATTCCATGTTAGTTCGACGAATTAAACAAGATTTAATTTTTATATATAATTTTAAATGGTTCTGCCGAATTAAATCATTCCAAATATTATAATTTTAGTTCAAATTTGGATCCAACAGGATCTAATGAGCTAAAATCATTAAAGCCTAAATGCAAAACCAAACACCCATAATTTTCTCACTCGCACCATTAATTGCTAGAATAAGCTGCCCAATACTTTCTGCGTCAACCTTAGCTACTGTGAAATAAATATAATAATATTTATTTCACAGTTAAGCAGGAATTTTTAGCTCAGTGTTGCTCAATTGGGAACGCTGATGCTGAGGTTCGATTTCCCGCAGGAGTAAACGTGTCAAAATTCCGGATGATGCGGTCGATTCACCTGTGTTTTCTGTCGCCAAGAGATTCTGATGTTCTTCTTCGTGTTTTACCGGCATAAACGAATGCCCTGTCCCAATCTTTGCATTTAGGCTTTATGTTACACTTTATAAAAATTTTTCTCAGATTGTGAACTATAATGAAATTATAAATTTTTGCAGATGATTTGTATCATAATTGCTTGTAAAAAACAGTTATTTTTTCAAATCAATCCACTATATAATAAATACGAAATTCTGCAAGCCTCGCAAGCTCGTTGAGCAATACAATTCATAATTGATAAATAATCAATTATATCCACAATGGTGGAATGGAAAAAGGGAATGTTACGTAGAATTAGTTATAAACAATTGTGCTAATCTTAATATTTGTAATTTTGCAATGAAAAACCAGCGGAATTCGAAAATATTTTGGATGAAAATATGTTAATTGGATGAAAATATTTGTAATATTTAAAATATTATAAAATTATTTTGAATATTACATTGCAAAAATAGTTAAAAATTAAGAAAATTTTTTCAAGAAATTGATTTTTTTTAAACTTTCTTTTTATTTAATTTGTTTGTTTTCATTTTTTTCATATTTTTTTTATTACTTTTCATTTTTCATTTTATATACTTCTCTATTCGTTATTTTTTTATTTCAAAGTTGTTCAAAAACAGATTTTTCGTCGTGTTTTAGCTGAATTCTTATATTTTTATCGTGTTTTACTTATATATTGCATTTTATAAAAAATTTGACAGAAAAAATTTTTTTGTATTATTTCATTAATAATAATAATAATAGTAATGATAACAATAAATAAAAATTTATGTGAAATGAACTTCGTTTACTGCCTACGTGCAATAACCACACGTTCGTGCGCATTGTTGCATCATTGTTGTTCGAAATACACCGCCACAGCTATTCGATGCTCTAATTGCGGCACAGCCTTGTCTTTCGTCTTTACAATTTTGTGTTGGAGATGATAAAGTTGTCGCTAAAATCCATGAAAAACTTTAATTTTATAAACTCTATGCAATTTCAAATCTCTCATTTCTAATTTCTGAAATAAATTATGAAAATTTCCAAAAATCACTTGATAAACAGTCGCGTGAATTGCATGATCTCTGGCACATGTTCTTTAATTTGTCATTGGTACAAACACCCAGTGGCACCAAAACATCGCAACCATCAATAGTGTCCGGACACATGTTTGCAGCACCAGGTAAATGACAAAGACCGCAAGTCTGTGGACAAAATCGTAGAGCAAAATCTGGGATGCTAGTACAAAGTGACCTTGAAAAATTTCTGCATGGTCCCTCTCGGCCACCAACTAAAATTAAACACATTTTTAAATTTTTTAAGAAAAAATAACAATGAATTTCACATAAATTGGCCTCACTCCTTCACATCATTGTCATTATTATTTTTCTATTCTAAATTTAAATAGGCATTTTTTGAGAAGAATGCAACAGACGATTCTATTTAAGGCATATTTTTATATATGTTCACATATTCACATATGTTTTTCTTAAATACCATCCTACGATGTGTAATTGGCACATGGAAAAAAGTAGAAAAATTCAAGAAATATCGGTTAAACTTGATTATAATTGCAACAATAATAAAAATTAAAATTATTTAAACTTTACTATTTTCACAATTATATTCTCTAGTTAAGCAACACGTCGCACACATTCGTGGACACAATTGTCGAGCCAACATTCTATAGGGAGGCTGTTGACACTTGTCTCGAACTTTATAATCATTATTTCTGCAATGCAATTAAAATTGCAATTGTATTAAAATTATATATTTCTTTTTTATATTTATCTTTATTACCGATGGATTTTTTTCATGAATTTAAGCTAATAATACAAAAAATAAAAATCTTTTATAGAGAATAAGATTTAAGCAAAAACGATGGGTCTCTTATGAAAATGGTATAAATAATAGCATAAATTTCTGCTTAATCAAAAAGCAGTTTATATTTTCATTTAAATTGTCTTTAGAAATAAATGTGAAATAGAAATAAATTTTGAATAGCCAGAAACTCACTCCATACGATTCTCATTTATTATCCTTCCAAGCGCATCAGCTGCATCCTCAGGTTTGAATAACTCAAAGCAAGCTAATGCATCACGATCTTGGCAGTTGTCAACAGGTACTGAAGGTCTTTGTACGATTGCTCCTGCTGGCATTCCGGTCGGCATCGGAACATTGCAAACGTTTATAGTTTCTGTAGCACCATTAGCAAAACTGCATAACGATGCTAACGACGCTATGACAATGAGCATATTCATTAGCCAAATAAATTGCTCCCGATCTATAATTTAGGCTATTTATAAGCTACAAAAACAATTATTATTTTAATCATATCTCGGAAAATTATCAAAGAAATCTTTCAGGTGGTCAAATATGATTTTTGGAATCTGAAGTACATTCATTTCATAACAACTGACAGCGATAATTATCCATTAATCGAAATTTCAGCTTTTCAAACGATAATAAATTTTGAAATTAATATTTGTAGAAATTTTTGACTTAAATTGAGGAGGAATTATTGTGCTTTTCATAGTTTTCACGATTAATCGTTAAAGATTGGTGGCATGGAAATTTCGATTTGGATAAAATTCTTCTTAATTTATATTCTTTTTTATTCTTTAAATTTTCTATAATTGCAAATTTCTTCTTAAAACTCAATGAGCCACTCGTTATAAATCTTTTAAATTTGTTCCATTTTTTATCTTTACCAACCGATCACCTATATTCATGCATTTTAATATGCATTTGTTGTGAGCTATACGAAGAGAAAAATTGTTTGTGCCAACATTATGGTTGTGAAAGATGAATTTTGCAAAATCGTTCCAAGATTTTCTGGCAGACTGCCGCCATTCACCTCTAAAAATTTCATATTTATATTTTATTATATTTTATATTTTATTATATTTTCATGAAAAAATTATTCACATTGTGTTGTTTATCGTTTATTGTCGGTGAAATTTGCAAAGTTCTGCAACATTAAAATGGTGAAACAAATATGAGAATTAATGAGAATTAAATGAGAATTTTGGCATTGGCGACATCGATTTGATAAGATCAATTCCATTAAAATAATTCCATTAAAATAATCTAATAAATACAAATTTTCGAATTAAATTTCTTAAAAATAATAAAGAGGAATCTGCAAGTGCATTGAAACCAATTATTGACGATATATTATTTCTAATTTTTCATAAATAATTTTAAATAATTTAAAATTATTTAAAATTAAATTGTTTTTTAAATAATTTAAAAAATTTCCCATTTTCACTTCGAGGCAATCGAAAAATGTATTTCATAAAAATTTTGTAAAAAACGATACGTCGATTCGATTTTTGAAATTTCACAACAGTTTTACTATACGAATTAAGTTTGTATAAATAAATGCTTTCGTATTTTGTATTATCATTTCCGGTTTCCTAAGGGTTTTGTTCATTTTATCCGTTATAAAATGATTATATCTCATCAAAGCGATTTTTATTTTATTGGCATCGCATTTATTTTTAGTCTATTTATTCGAAATAATAATTGTTTAAGTGCAAATGACGCATTGTACGGAAATAAAGACAAAAATCAATGCTCAATTTATAGTTTTATAATTATACTAATTAAAAATATATATATGTATATATATATATTTATTATGTTGCAGTGATTTAGTAAATATTAAAAAACTGATATACTTTTTAAAAACTGATATAAATTTATGATATGACTTTTATCATATCAATAGAAAGTAATGATAATTCCTAGTGAATATTGGAGAATGGATGAATAAAAATTATATGTGCGGCAAAAGCTTTAAATCAATGAAATTGTCATAAATCTATCGGCGCTATTATACCGACTTAGATTTTCGATTGCCGCTGTTTTGTCGCGTTTGACTGAATTTTTCTTGCTTCATTGTTCAATTTTGTGCGTAAATAACACCGCTGATAATTTGGTCTTCCTGCAAAGAGCTCTATTAAAAGGCAGTGAGTGGTACAATTTAGTAAGCAAATAAACAACACCTCTGGTAACAGAAACGAGCGAACGATATTATTAACAATAATATTAATGCCTAAGGCAGTGTTCGGTTTTACTTTACATTTTAATAAATA